GTGGCCGTCAGCTGGGTACCGGCACAGCAGGGCTGGGCTCGTGAGCCGGGGCCTTGCAGAGCAGTAGGGACACTCACGTGTCCAAGGCCTGGAGGCCCCAAGGCCAGGCCTCCTCCCGTCCACCAGGCCCCGGAAGGAACACACAGGTGCAGGGTCACTCTCAGCGGGGGCCTGGGCTGGACAGAGGTCCTGGACTGTGAGCTCCGGGGGGGCATGAGCCCACCTCCCCACCTGTGTCAGTCTCTGTGTCCCACCCAGTGGGCAGCACACAGTATGTCTCAGTGTTTGCCGCTCAGTGGCTCACTCCTTTTAATCAAAGTCCGGCTACCCTTGTGAGCGCCTCCTCCCAGACTTCACCACTGGGAGCTGGAGTCTGGGGGCCCCGCCTGACCCCTGCTTCAGGGAGTCTCTGCCTACAAGCCGCCTTTCTTAAAGGCAACTCAGCCCTGTCCCTTCCTTCTTAATTTTTCTATTTTTCTAGCTGTGATAAAACATACATATGACAAATGTTATCATTTTAACCACTTTTAAGCGTGGGCTCGGGGCCACTGCAAACACTACATTATATGCAACCACCCTGTCCATCTCCAAAACTCCCTCATCTTCCCAAACCGAAACCCCAACCCCAAGAGACACTCGCTCTGCCTCCCCCACCCCACCCCACCCAGCTGCTTCCTTGTGGGGTGTCAGAGAAAGGGAACCCCCACAGTGCTGTCCTTGGGGACGGCTCCTCTTGCTGAGTGCCGTGTCCTCAAGGCCATCCAGGTGGCGCAGGCATCTGTGCGTCCTTCCTGTCTAAGCTGAAGGGGCCACTTGTTGTTTACCTGTCCATCTGGCGGTGGACACTTGGGCTGCTCCCGCCTCTGCTTCTCATGAATCACTGAGTTATGCAGCTCTGAACCCCGGGTATAAGTCTGGCTTTCACATCCTTGGGGCGCACCCAGGAGTGGGGCAGCTGGACCTCATGGGAATCCTGCGTCGGGCTCCGTTTGCAGCTGCCTCACCGCTGTCCCGGCCACCACTGACCTCCGTGCCCGCCTCAGCTCCTGCCAGGCCCCAGGTGCTCGCCTCCTGCCACTCTCCGCCGGGTTTCTTGGGAATGGCCTCCTAATGCCTAATGGGGGTGAAGGGTTGGCTCCTGTGCCCCCCCTTTCTTTACAAGTCACACTTGCCCATCTGATCGTCATGGCAGGACTCTCGGGTTCCCTGACGCCCCGTGCCCAGTCCACCCTGGACTTCGTGGAAGTCACGAGCCTGGCCTCGCCCGGCTCCTGTCTGTGTGTATGCTACGTAACACACATTTCTTTCCCATGGTTAATATCTCTGGAATCAGGATGCATCTTGCCATTAATAGCATGTCTTTGTCTTGGTTTGTCACTGTTTTTTTCCCTTGGCTCATAAAATCACGATGCTCCTGACAGCCACGGCGAGTGGAGGGGGTGCTGGCGCTGTGAGGCCCCGCTCCCCGGACACCCCAGGCCTGCAGGAGGCTACACGCCCCGTGGCTCCTCGGGGCAGCTGGTTCTCATCTCTGCCCCCTCCAGCTGCGCGTGTGCAATGTCACGGCCGTGGCCAAGACCTCCAGGTTTGTGGCCCCGGCGTGTCCCTCCACGTGGATGTCACTGGTGTCCCTGCCACGCCAGAGTTGCTCCTGCAAGCTCAGCCTCCATCCTGCCGGCTGGGCCTGATTGTCCCCTTCCCGAGCCCATCCCTCTTGCAGCCCCTGGCCGGCCGACCCACTTCCCGGACCTGGGACTCGCTGTTTCCTCCGGGGCCCCCGGCCCTCTCCTCACCAGGGCTGCCGCCTTTTGGAGCACTTCCTGTCACTTCTATTTGTTTCTCTTTTTGCCCCTTAATCTGTTTTTCTAGGCTCCCTCCCCACCCACGCGCAGCTGGAGGGCCTCCTGGCTTTCTCGCCACTTCCTCCCGAAATCCCCGCGCCCGCCGGCCCATCCTTGACTGCACCAGAGCACTGCCTGGAGGGCCGGGGTTTGCAGGCCCCCCCATGGTAGGAGTGATGCGCCCCCAGTCTCCATGCTCACCAAGACCTGCTACCCCTGCTCCCAGCGAGCCCCAGCTCCTGAACAGTCCCGTCTGCACCCCAAGGCACCCACCCTCAGAGCCCCTCCGCTGCTCTGCCCAATATTCTTTGGTGAAGGAGGCCCTGCCTGAAGGGAGGGGTGTGGGGAGTCCAGACGGAGGGGTCTTTGGGGCGCATGCTGGGGTCTTCCACGCGGGAGTGTCTGCACCTGACCTAGCTGTTTCCCCCCACCCCAGGGGGCTCCACCTGGCCCCAGGCTGGGAGCAGAGCTGGAAAGCAGAAGGGCCTATCGCCGCCCTCCAGCTCTGCGTCCTCCCTGTGACCCCAGTCCCAGGAGGGCCAGGCTCCGCTGCCACAGCCCCTCCTGAAGTCTGCGCCCTGGGCGCCCAGGGAGGCTGACCGCTCTCGCCTCATGTGGCCCATCGGGCTCAGGAGGGACCAAGCCCCTGTCTCTGGGCCGGGCTGGACTCCCCCGGCTACTCTTGTTGAAGAGGTCACAGCCCCTCTGCTCCTGCTCCGGGAAGGGGCACAGGTGGTGGTTTTGAAAGAGGACCGCCGCCAGGAGGGGAGGACCAAGAGATGCCACTTCCCAGGGGCTGGTGGTTGGCTCTGTCCCTCCTTGAGGGCCTGCGGCCACCTGTGCTCTCCTCAGCACATAGGAATTGGACACACATCCGCCAAGGGGACACAGCGGGAGGATCTGGCAAAGGCCTCGGAATGGTGACACCTCCTCCCAGCGCCTTCCTAGCCCAGACACTCAGCTCCAGAGACAGAAAGGCAGGCACCCATGGGCGCTGTTCCCAGGGGTTCCGTGGCCTTTCTGTTTCACAGACAGAAATCCCAGCTGGACACATAGGCCAGGGCTGCGGTCGGCTGAGAGTCCAGGCTCCGCTTTGGGCTGTGATCTTGGGCCTTGCTGGGTCCAGGGCTCGGCCAGCTCAGCGAGACGTGGCCCCATCCTGCAGGGGATGGCAATGCCAGCTGACCTTGGCCTTGCTGCCAGCAGGGCTGGGGCCAGAGAGAGGCCACCGGACCCTGAGAGCCTTCCCGGACCCCGCAGTGAAGGGGTAGGACAGGGGGACTGACCTTCCTGGCCAGCAAGTGTGAAAGAGGAGGGGAGGGGTGGAGGGGAGGGGAGGGGAGGGTCAGGAGGGGGTGGGTTTCCTGCAGGAAAGAAGCCAGAGCCCTGGCTGGGGGGCAGCGGCGAGCAAGCTGGACGGGGGCGGCAGAGGCGAGTGGGGGGCCCTGCACGGTTACATAAAGGCCTGGGATTCTCCTGCAGACTCTGGGTGCTTGAAGGGCTTGGAGCCCAGGAAACATCTGGGTAGAGACCAGGTTTCAGGGCACCTCGGCCGCAAGTGTGCAGGGCAGAGTGTGGCGGGGCCTGGCGGGGGAGCCCCTGCTGAGGCGAGGGTGCGGCACCTGGTGGGATGAGACCACAAGTGGACAGGGCAGTGGCCTGGACCCAGCACGGCTGGCCAAAGCCCCTGCCTCCCAGGCGGACGGCAGGAGGCTGCAGTGCTCACCCCTGGGGTCCAGGAAGCATCTTCCAAGCTGTGGGAAGCCCCAGGGGAGCCTTCTTTGTAGATGAAAGTGACTACCACTCAGCATGGAGAGGACACGGGGCGTCGAGGGGGCTCCCCTTCGGGTGACAGGGTACAGTCTCTTTGCAGCCCCGTCTGGGGCAGTCCTGGCAGCTGGAGGATGTGAGTCCAGCCAGGTGGGGATTCCCCAGGTCACCCCGAGACCCGACATGCCGAGAGTGGGTCTCCTGAATGCTGTCCAACCCCTTGTGTCTATGGCATTTCTCTTTCTTGACCACATCTTTAGGAGGTAAATTCTAAATTATTCAAAGTTCAAGGTGGCAGTAGCGGGCAGAGAGCCAGGAGGAAGGACGGAAAGGGGCAAGAAGCTTTGGTGCCCGCTGGGAGCCGGGCCCCCGTGGGCCGTGTCCAGTCGTCACCGCTGCAGAGGGGAGCGGCTGCCTTTCCAGCTGGGGTCCCCACTCCCCGATCACATCATCAACCTCTTGGGTCACACGTGTAGAAAGTGCAGAGTTGGGGTGTGTTTGCTTGGGTAGCTCTGGGCCCACAGTTATAAACCTGCTATTCGTGGCTCCCGGGCACCCCTGTTCTGCCTCTTCGGGGCTGGCAGTCAGCATGAGGGAGCGGGGTGCAAGCATTTGGCTTCTCCCCTAGGTCAGGCTTTCCCCGATGTGCTCGCCTTTCCTGGAGGGCCTCTGCTGCGAAATCCAAGCTGGGAATGGTTTGGGGTGCGGCTGGGTCTCCTTCTAGTCCTATTATTTTGTGCCAACCCAGAACCATAGGGCTGAGGCTCACTGGACTGATGCGTGACTCCAGCCCACCAGTATTATTAATTCGCTTATTTACAGCCTGCTTGCTTTCAGAAAGCATTGTAGGAAGTCTCCGGGAAAACAAGAGATAAAGGAAATACTATAAGAGCAAAAGAAAAGATGGGGGCGGCTGGAAAGGAGAGGCAAGGGATCCGCAGGAGCTCAGGAGCGCCGAGCCTCCCACCAGCCACGGCAACAAGGCAGCTTGCAGGATTCGGGGGCACTCGGGGGGCGCTCGGGGGGCGCTGCTCAGGAGAGGGCCCTGGCCACTCGGGGCAGAGCCGTGGGTTTTTGTGTTTTTTTGTGTTTTTTGCTGACCATGTTCAGGATTGTGGTGGGCCCCGAGCAGCAGCTTCCCGGGAACGTAGACATCACCCCCTTTCGGCGATCTTGGATTTTGAAACGCATCTAAGACAGTCAGGACGGCCGTGGGCTCACGTTTCCACCTCCCTTCTGTTCCAGCAGGTGGATGACCCGGCCTCTGTGGACTTCAGTGGACTCATGGGGGGTGGGAAGTTCCTCTGAGGGAGACAGGAAACGCAAATCCGGGGGGCTGCTCTGACTCCCTCTTCCTCCCACCCCTCCAGCCGCCCGGGTCTCCACGCCATGAACACCGCCCCAAGGGACGCCCAGGCCCCGGGCCACTGTGGGCGCCTCCGGACTTCCGCGGCCCAGACCCCCTCTGTCACCCAGGTCCCGGCAGCCAAGAAGATCACCTTCCTCAAGTGGGGGGACCCCCAGTTTGCCGGCGTTCGTCTGGCTGTTCACCAGCGGGCCTTCAAGAGCTTTGGCGCCCTGATGGATGAGCTCTCCCAGCGGGTGGCCCTGCCCTTGGGGTGCGCTGTGTCACCACGCCCCGGGGCCTGCATGCAGTCGGTGCCCTGGAGCAGCTGGAGGATGGGGGCTGCTACCTCTGCTCCGACAGGAAGCCTCTCAGGACCGCCCGTGCGCCGGGCCCCAGGGAGGCGCCGGAAGCAGCCTCTCGCTGCAGGGGCGTGAGGACACATCTCCTGGCTAAGAACGGGGACCTGGGGCTCCAGCACACGGTGGCTCTCGGCCACGGGACCGCGGGGACCCTGGCCGTTCTCAGCAAGGCCTTGGCGCGCCTACGCTTCCCCGCGCAGCAGCGGCACACGGCCCGCGGGGAGAAGGTAGGCTGCGGGCAGCTCCAGGGCCTTCCGGAGCCGGAGTGAGGAGGGGCCTTTCAAAGCAGCACTTGATAGGCCTGGTCACCCTTCCCGCCTGGCCCTCGGCCGGGGCCAAGAGGGACACGCGCGGTCAGTGGGCGTGAAGGCACGTCAGCGTGTCCTGGGACGCTGTCTGCAGCCCTGAGGCAAACACCGTCTCCTTCGGTTACAGGATGTAGGGGGATCTGGGGAGTCGTTGTGCCGGAGCTGAGGCTGAGATCTGGCCTCTTGCAGGGTCCCCCCTCTACCTGAAAAGGGGGCTCCAGTTGGGTATGATTCAGCAGGTGACTTTTTTTGGTCTGGGCATGCTCCTCCCCCTCATTTACATAGAAAACCCTCGCGCATTCCAGAGCCTACCACAGGGACCGAGTCCTTTTTGGGGGGGGTGGGGTGGCGGGCTGAGCCGGGTTTGCGTCTCTGGTGCGCTTGCCCCGGGCTGCAGGGACGCGGGCACCGGCTCATGGCGTTTCAGTGCCTGGCGGCCACTCTCTGCTCCTGAGATTGGGCTGCACGAGCAGGAGGCCCGGGACCCACCTGGGAGCCCTGGGGCCCTGGCCGGGCAGAGCTGAGCGCCAACACCGGTGCCGGCGTCCTCGTCTCTTGCTTACTCGTGTCCCGTGGGGCGGCGGGCGGTCAAAGTCCCTTCGGCAGCCCTGCGGTCACCCAGCAGAGGCATCCCCAGGCCCACTTATCTCTGCAGGCCACGGGCGCCAGTGTCCCATTGTGACCGGCCCACCCAGGCCAGATAACTAATCCCACCGCCCGTCCCTGGAGGCCTATTGCCTGCAGCCACCTGCAGCTCTGGCCTCGTGAAGTCGGGAGTCGGTCCGGGAGTCAGATGTCTCTCAGGGGCCAGAGCCCGGAGGGGTCAAGCAGCGTCCCTGCCGCGGGGCCGGGTGGGAAACACCCAGAACATCACAGAACTAACCTTTCGGGGCCGATACTGTGACCCAAACAAGAAATGGGTCTCTGGGGGTGCACTGATAGCGCTCAGTACCCCCGCTTCCCCATGGCTGTGATCCAGAGGAAGTCGCTGCTGGGGACTCGGGGCGGGGCTGGAGGACACAGGTGCCCGCAGGAGCCTGGGGCCCAGGAGGCAATGAGCCTGCCCTTCCCGCTCCCGAAGGGGCAGAGCAGAGGCCGGGGGCTCAGGTCATGCCGGAAAACACAGATCAGACCCAGGAGAGGACCCCTCAGGGGACAGAACAGGGTCGTGAAGTACGTCCTTTATGGACACTGGAGGGCTTTCTACACTGGCTGCTTATAAAAAAGAAAAAAAGAAAATTTTGGGGGGTGCATGTGGGCAGGGAAATAGAATAAAGGCTTCCCATCGTCTCTTCTGCCAGAGGAATCCAGAAAAACCTCAACACCTTAGGACTCTTGCCTGGCAGAGGGAGGGGGGGCAGGGAGGAAGGTCCTAGTGGGGGGGGCCAACCCCCTCTAGCTAGGGGGGAGCTGGAAGGACTCACTTGTCTGGGAAAGCTGGGGTGAGTCGTGCACACATCAGGAACGGGCTGGCAAGAGTGGGTGCTGCCTCCCTGGCGAGGGCCCTCCTCACCCATCTCTCCTCTTCAGGCGCTGCCCAGCCCCCCGGTGCTCCCGTGCCCGGGCCCCGAGCCCGTCTGGCCTCCCGCGGTGGAAGAGGCCAGAGGAAGCGCGGCTGGAGCATTGTCTGGGCAGCCCTCGAGGAGAAGCGGTGAGTTAGTTTTGGGGTTTCCCTGATCTTATTTGCAGAGCTGGCAGATACCCCTTCAGGTAATTCAGGAAGTCGCCTGTGGCCTCCATCTTGGGACCCCAGTTGCTTGGAGGTTTCTCTTCCTCCTTCTCACGTCCGCAGCACCGGGCTGCGAGGGGAGTCCGGGGTGTGGTGTTAGAGAGAGTGGGGATTCTGAAGTCCTGAGTTCCTTACTTCGGGGGATTAATAACAAAATAAGCTGCAAGAAGGACCGGGGGGGCTGGGTGTGACGAGTCAGCGGGCAGCGGGAATGTCGCTTCGTCCTTTGGGAAACACGACTCTTAGGCCAGAGTGGGGGCCGACCCGCTCAGGCCAGTGGGGACCACGCGGCCACCAGCCATCTGTCCGTCCAAACTCACGTCCCTCCAGGACACCCTCTCTGCACCAGAGTTTAGGTTTTGTCATTAAAACAAAACACCCACTTCGTTCTCGATGCACAATTGCAGAATAAGTCCAGCAAAGTGATCGGGATGACAATGGTCACATTTTGGTTCTTCATGAAAACAGTTCAGGAAATGACAAGGGTCTGGTGCTTGCCTGTGGCCAGGAGTCGGAGCTACCAGACTCCGGTGGTGCCGGTGGAGAAGCAGCACTTGGCAAAACCTTCTCCTGCCCAGCGGGACCCGAGGGGTCTGTGTTTCGCTGGCCGGAGGCTCGGCCCACGCTCTTGGCCGAGCGTCAGCGCAGGAGAGGCCGGAGGAGAGCACGAGGACACATCTTCCTTTCTCTGCCCCGTGCCCTTCGCCTTCGTGGCAGAGGTGCAGGCGGCTACTGTGTGGCCAGGTCCTTCCCTGCAATCATTTATCAAGCCCGAAGCCTGATGCGTGTCAGGGTGACAAATCGCCGCTAATAACCGCAAAGCATTCCCAGGCTGCGGTCAGGCTGGTGTGGGGTGGCGTATTGGTTTTGCTTCCCGTGGGGAGGTGGGTGTGAGCAGGGCATGGTGTTGGCTTGGTGCCGCCTCTGCTCCGCCCCAACCAGTGGTCTGTGGAGAGCCCACCTCTGCCAGCAGCTGTGAGGGCGGCGTTAGCTGCACCCCCCGCCCTTCGCCGCAGCCAAGGCCCGAATAGGCCTGGTCACGCTTGTTTCACTGCTCAGATAACAGACTCTGCCCAAAGTGCACAGCGGGGAAGCGGCAGGGCCGGGGCTGAAGTCAGGCTCACCTTGCTAGGCTGGGCTGGCGCACAGGCTGCAGCTCCGTGGAACATTCTGAGGCATTTCTGCCCTCATGGGCTGGGGAGACAGGGTGCAGGGATGATACAAGTCACACCCAGTCTTTCCTCTCCCTCTCTGGAGCTTACCATCTTGCCCTTGTTTCTGCTCTCATTGCCGCCAGGGAGCTGGGGGCCCACGGCCGAGCGGAGCGTGATGCACTCGCGGTGCAGGCTGGGCAGCAGGCCCAGGCCGTCCTCGGTGCTGTCGGCGAGGTCTGGTCTCAGTGACGCCCCCGCGTCGAGGCATCGTGCCAGGGTAGACAGGCACCCTTGGGATACACCCACCCAGCTGGGCCCCTTGGTGACTGGCGGCGACATGGAGAAGGTCTGTACGAGCGAGGACGGCGGCCTGGCTGTGGAGATGAAGGTCCGCGTCCACCTGCTGGCCGAGGATGTGCTGCTGTGGCCCAGGGGGTTGGGCCAGGCCAGCACCCCCGCGGGGGCCAGAGGGGAGGCCCCTGTGCAGAGGGAGGCAGAACCCCTCCACTGGGTGTGGGAGGGCTACCCTGAGAGGTCTCTGGAGCCCAGGGCAGGGGGCCCGGGCCCCTGTGAGACAGGGTGCTGCGAGGACACGTGTGGTCCAGGCCAGCGGCACCTGGGGTCTGGATACGAGAGCTGGACAAACCGCCTGCATGCCTCCCAGGAGGCCGGGCCAGCTGCTCAGAGGAGGCTGGGAGGGTCCCAGCACTCCCACTCCAGGGGGCCCTGGGGCCCAGGGGGTGCTGGCAAGAAAGGAAGCAGCAAGGGTAGCGCCAACCTGGCCTCGAGTCACAGGCCCTGCCAGGGCTCTGAGCCAAACTCCTCCTGCTGCTGCGGGGCGCCCGAGGGCAGCGGCGGCCCACCTCCGGCCTCTGGGGCTGCCTCCCAGAGGGGCCCTGGGCAGGCAGGGGCTCTTCTGACCTCCTCAGCTGGCGCTGGGCCCCAGGGAGGGGGCAGGGGCATGGGCGAGCACCAAGGCTGCCCCAGCGAGGCAAGGTCCACGACCTCTTGGAGGAAAGCTACCCTGCGGGGAGACCCAGACTCCCCCATGGGGAGTCCCTCATCTTTGAGGAGTGGAGACCCACACGCAGAGGAGAGCAGACAGGGCGCGGGGCAGCCCCCAGCCAGGCATGGGGCTGGGGTGGGGCTGCCTCTGGCCGCGGGCCGGGCTGGCTCCGGGCACACAAAAGGCTGCCCCCCGGCCTCTGCCTGCACCTCAGCCCCGGGTGGGAGAAGGCGGTGGGAGAGGAGGGCTGAAGCCGCGTCCTCACCAGGCACGGCTGGTCTCGGCCAAAAGGCCCAGAGGGGCCACCCCAGGCAGCACCCCAGCCCAAGGGACACCCACTGACTGCTCAGCTGCCCTGAGTCCAGGCCAGGCCCTCCCAGCAGAGTCAGGACACGGCTGGAAAGCACTGCACCCCATCTTTTCCATAGCTCATCGAGCACCAGGACCCCAGCCTCTCAGGGCTCAAGGCCGCCCTCCTCAGCCTACTCGGTCCCACAAGAGGTCAGCAGTGACCCCACCACACCCGTGAGCCGTTCTGACTACGCTTCCAATCTCCACCCCCCAAACTCTCCCTCTGCTGGAAGGGAAGGGGAGCCTGAGTCCGGGGAGTGCTCATCAGCCCCCATATCTTTCAGCACACCCCCCTCTTCCTGTTCACAAGCTGGGGGCCTGAGTGAAAAGCCTGGGGGCTGGTCCTTGGTTCTGCCAGGCGGATGGCCTGGGGGCAGGCACCCCAGAGCCCAGGGAGGCTGCTGCTCACCTGTGGGCCCAGGGCCCCACAATGGGGCCAGCTCAGGGCATGTCCGGTTCTGCCCCACTCCCTCAAGGGCAAGGCCCTCTGTCGAGCACCCCCCTTCATGCAGCAGGGGCCACAGTGATGGCCCCGGGGCTGGTGGGGGGCCAAGCGGCAGCCAGCCAGGGGACTCCAGGCGCCCGCAGCCCCTGGGCTCTCGGGCCAGCGCTGCCTGCAGGAGAGCGGCCACAGCAGCCAGAAGGGGCAGCCCCACATGCAGGCCCAGGCCCAGTAGAATGTCGCAAGGGAGGGTTGGCAACGGAGGGGGACACCTGGGGGGGCAAGAGGATGGTGGGGTGACCCCCAGGGCTCTGCCCCGAGCCTCGCCAGAAGCCCTGGTGCGCGAATGGCTGAGCAGCGTCCCGGAGGAGCCCGTGGTGCTCATGGAAGATGAGCCGGTGAACGGAGGCTGGGACACAGCTGGGGGTAGCCCTGGAGGCCCCCGGGAGGACCCTGCAGGCGAACTTTCCCCGGAATGTCTGGGGGAGCCTGCTCAGGCCGGACAGTCGCCCCTGGGCGAGGACACCGAGCTGGACGGGGCCCTCGTGGAGATGGTCGATGTGGGGCCCAGGTCGGGAGAGGGTCCTCCTGACAGCGGGGTTTCCAACGCCCCCCAGAGGGCCGGGGCAGGCAAGGGTGTGGCCTTGGGCTGCAGTATGGGCCGGTGCGTGCTTCCCGGCAGGGTCTCGGCCTCCGTGCAGGTCATGAAGGCACTGCTGGGCTCCAGGCAGGGCCAGCCCAGCAGCCTGCCCGAAGTGTCGGGGGCAGCTGGCAGGAGGCTCAGCCGCTGGGCCCAGGCCCTGCTCAGCTGCCTCACCAGGCTCCACTTCTTTGATAAAGACCTGGTGTCCCCCGCTGGCCCTGTGAGGTTCGCACACTCTCCTTGGTACCAGGAACTTCTGGATACCTTCTGGGGCCTGTGGCTGGGGAGTGGCCCAGGGCCGGGTGAGCTGGAATGGAGCCAGGCTCTGTTGGGGCTCAGGACCCACGTCAAGCCTGAGGACCTCACGCCCACGTCCTCCTCCGGAGTGGACATTGGCAGTGGCTCTGGAGGCTCTGGGGAGGGCAGTGGACCCCTGGCTCCTGAGAGGGCAGAGCTGCCCTTGCTAAACCCCTGAACTTAGGCCTGATTCCAGAGCCTCAGAGGACCAGGGTGGGCAACAGCCAACTGGTCCCGAGGCCTCCTCTTACTCCCCAGCGTGGGCTTGTTCCTCCGGGGGAGACAGAGCAGATGGGGGGCAGATGGTGGGGAGTAACCGGGACCAAGAAGTAGAAGACACAGTTCCAGAAGAGGGGGTGCAGCCAGAGAAAGGGAAAGCAGGAATCAAAGGCACAGAACTTCAAGGAGAGGGTGCCACAGAGCAAAGGCTTCCAGAAGAGGCAGGTGTCTCCCCTCAGGCACTGCCAGGGGCAGACTTTCAGGAGGCAGAGCGCACACAGGAAGGCAAGCATGTGCAGGATGAGGAAGCAGGGGGCATCTGTGCCTCTGAGGTGCTGTGCCCTCCAGAGAGGAGAGAAGACCCCACAGAGAGTCCTGGGAGCTTCAGCGAGGGGGACTCCAGCACCATCAGGAGTCACAGCAGCTTCAAAATGGAGCACAGATTGGAGAAGCCGCCCACAGCTGCTGAGACAGGCCTCAAGCGCAGCACCCCCAAGCTCACCCCCAGGGGCTGGGGAGAAGGGCACGTCGAGGCCTTGCAGAGTGTCCCTGGGTCCTGACCCCCACTGGGTGTCCAAGCTGCTGAGGAAAATGGAACAGGACTTCATGGCCCACCTGGCCAGTGCCACAGCCGAGCTCCGAGCCCGGTGGGGGCTGCAGAGCAACCACTTGCTGGACCAGATGGCGTCTGAGCTGCAGCAGGACGTGGGCCGGCGGCTCCAGGACAGCTTGGAGAGGGAGCTTAGGAAGGTCCAGAGCCGGGCGGGGTGGACGGCGCCACCCCAGGAAGGCCTCAGGTGGAAGCTGTCCCTACAGATGGAGCAGCACAGGCACCGCCTGCAGGGCCTACACAACCTCTCGGCCTTCTCTGAGCAGACCCCAGGCTGGGAGACACCCTCCCTCGCCCTGGAGGCACGGCTGGCTGGGGAGGGGTTCTGTCCCTGCCAGGCCTGGGTGAGGAAGAAAGTGAGCCCTGCATACCCCAGGGGCAGCGTGGGGGTGGCCAGTGCCCCCATCATGAAGGCCTTTGACCTCCAGCAAATTCTGAGGCAGAAAGGGCAGTGTGCTAAGGGGGAGATTTTAGAGGCAGCCCCTGAGATGACAGGGATGGAACCAGCTCAGGGGGACCCCAGTGGGGACCTGGACTTGGGGTTAGGCCCTGACCCTGGGGTGCAAGTTGATGGAGATGGGGCTGAGGGCAGCCAGACCCTGGGCAGAGGTGAAGCCCCCAGGTGGGGCGAGAAGGAGGTTCCTGGTCACAGGAGGGAAGGGATGGAGGATGCCCGGGCCGGCGTCAGCTCGGGGTCAGGCCTGGGGGAGAAGGGAACACACTCAGGAGAAGGCTGTGGGGCTGCGGATGGTTGGGAGGCTGAAGCCATAGGAGGTGACTGAAGCCTCAGGAAGAGGTGATTGACGCCCAGGAGGACAGGACATTGGGGCCCACACTGCAGAGGCCGGGGTGGGGAGCTGCAGCCAGAGCCAGGAGGAGAAAGTCGGAATGAGAAAGACTAACCCACAGGTAGGCACAGGGGGCTGGGGTTTCTGGAAACAGCAGTCTAGACCCAGAGGGGAGGCCTGTGCTGTCCCGCGAGCCAGGACAGCCCCTGGGGGTGAGGACACCCTCAGGCCAAGGTCAGCCCTCTTGTCCAGCTCATCTCTGAGAAACTGCTCCCGGCTTTCTCAGGCCCCGAAGGGCCTTCCCATGGAGACACAAGTTGCTTCCAGGACGTGGCTGAGGGTGTTCCTGCTCCACAGAGAAGGATCCCCGCCCGCTCGGGGACCCCGGAGCAGGGAGCAGGTAAAGGCTCTGACTTGGGAGCCAAGAAGGGAGCTGATGGTCTTGCACTCACAGAGATGCGGCTCCAGCCCTCTGCGTGGACAGGACAGAGGGCTTCGGCCACGAGGACTCGGAGCTCCAGTGGTCCGGGTCTGGGTCTTTGCTTCTGCTGCTATTTTGTCTAGAAAGCGGAGTGCCTGGAGTTGATCAGAGCCAGAGAAGATCAAGGACTTGCAAGGACACAGCCCTCCAGGCGTGACTCTGGGCGCCACACTCTGGAACTTCAGAGGCCCGAGGGGCGGGGCGGGAGGTTATCTCGGACGTGGCCTCTTATCCGAGGTCAGCGGCTCCGCGCCCTGCCCGGCCGGCAGGATGGCTGACTGGCAGCGACCCAGGAGCGTTTGTCTATGTTCAGTTTTTGCTGGCGAGCAGTTCTCTGCTCCTGCCCATCGATCTCCTGTTCCACCTGCTCTTTTTCTCCTTGGCCTCTCCCAGCTCCCACCGCATTCGCCTTTCAGGTGCTTTTTCTGGTCTCGAATAGATTTGGTGACTCTGCAGATGTGACGACTTGGGGCAAGCAGGTCAGCCCAGGGTCACTGGATGAAGTTCGCTCTCCGTGCAAATGTCCGCGCACGCTTATTTCATTCATTTTTTTTTTTTTGTAATGAAAAAAAATCAGAACATGCCAAGAAGCAGGGAAAGAAACAGTAACTTGCAGCCCCCGACAGTGTTCCCAGCGGGGAGGGCTCGGTCCCAGGGTCTGGCCTAACCGTTTGGTGGTTATACAGTTAAAAAAAACAAAACCTTAATATAAGAATTTCCTCAATTTATCTTGAAATCTTCATAAATCTATTTTTAGAACCTGAATAATGGTTTCAATGGCTGAGCAATCCTGCTGAGAATATAAAACACTTCGCCACGTCCCTATTGTTGGCCACTGAGGTGACTTCCATTTTTTCCCTGAATTGCAGCTTATTTCCTTCGGATCGCTTCCCAGGCCTGGAATGACTGGGTCAAAGGTTATGGGCTTTTTTGAGGTTCTTGGGCTCTTGCTGCCAAATTGCTTTTCCAAAGTCCAATCTACAGCTTCCCACACTCCTCCGCACTTGGTATTGTCCTTAAAACAAGACTCCTCTTTTGCTAATTTTACAGGAGAAAAGCAGCACCTCTTTTAACACAGATTAGCGTCGATGTCTTTGGTTCTCACAAGGGGAGTTTTCTAGGTTTTTTCTAAAGTTATATGCACGCCAGCGATGGTTGCCCGCTTTGTGCCAGTGCTCTGCTGGGCCCTGGCGTTTGTTAATGGATTGACGTCCACGTGTCCTTTATGAGTTTTTGAATTTCTAGATATGATTTTTGAGATTCAAAAGATGCCCTGTCTCTGCTCCTTCTAGAGCCACGCAGCCGCCAGGGCCCAGCTGGGGAGGGGCTTGTGGGCGGCCATGTGCTGATCCTGGCATGGCTACCCACTCACGGGTGACTGCTGGGTGTGTCCTGAGTGACAGCAATGCACCCTTCACACAAAGGTGCCCCCACAAAACCAGTGTTGGACGGGGTTGTGTCTCCATGCCTGGGTCATCTGTTCTGCTCTGTAAATGCTAGAAATGTTAATAAAATTTGACATGTTTTTAAAGTTTTCGTAAAGTCTTTCCATTAAAAGTTTATATATAGATCTCTCTGCACACACACACACACACACACACACACACACACACAGAGATAGACAGTAGATAGATATGCAACGATAGATATTTATAGATATTCCAGGCATGGAATTATATTGAATAGACTTTTTTTTTTAAAGTTTTGTATCTTGCTGCTCATAACTACATATTATATCCACCTCTAGCTATCTTTTGTCTGTCAGTCAATCAATCATTTACCTGCCGTCCATCCATTTATCTCTGTCTGTCAGGGCCTACCCAGCTATTATCCTCATCCACCTAGCAGCTGGTGACTGGTTTGGACGTGACAGCCTGTCCAGAACTGGTCACTGGGGTTGGCATGGAGCCTCTGCCAGGTACCTGCCCTGGGGCTTGAGGCCCCAGTCACCCCTTAAGAGATGCTCTGACCCCTTTAATCCACCATCTCCCCACACACCCGGAGCTGCCCTGGCTGCCTTGGCCGCATGAGAGTGCTCTGTCCGCCTCTGGTCAAGAGAACCCACCACAAGGAGCTCGGGGCCAGTGAAGGCTCTGCAGTGTCCACTTCTGTAGACTGTAGAGGGGCAAGCGCCGCTCTCATCGCATCGAGGAGGGGGGTGGGAGGGCATGTGGAACCTCCTTTTAATGGGGAAATCTCATTCTTTTAATTACGACTGTTTTCAAAGCCTACTACGCTTCAGACACCACACTAGCAGCTGCCAAGTCAGCTCCCAGCAGGCGAGGGCAGCCGGTCGGTGGTCATCCCACCGCTCGGAGGAAGACGCCGGCCCAGGAGACGCAGCAAACTGGCCCGGTCAGTTGGGGCCAAGCCAGGACTTCACCCAGCAGACTCCAAAGTCCACGCCCTTCTCCACTGTACCATATTTTCTTCATTTCCATTCAAACCCCATAAATCAACAACCTAAAGGCGGCAACACTCTGTTGAATGAGTTTACCTCAAAATAGTTAAGACTTAGGAAAGTAAATGAGACGGGATTTTGCGCCGCTGATTGCATTATTTCCTCGGCAATGTTCTACGGACGTGCAGATACCTGCGGCCTGAGATAACCTGGTTTTTAAAGCTGAAGGTTAAACCAGAAAGTTATCTGGCTGCGGGACTCTCCTTTTAGTTACACGCTCACCTGCTTTAAGCCCTCAAATATGTCTGCCCTTTATATTAAAAAAATCACTGTTAATGGAAAACTTAGTGTTTTCTTCTGACCTGGAGAGAAAGGATTTCAAGGCATCCTCAGTTCAGGAGGGATTTTTGCGTCTCCTCCTCCGCCCTTCACCACAGCAACCAAACCCACCACAGCCCTTGGGCCCTGGAACACGCCGGCGTCCTGCGGCCTCCATGGCCCCCAGCAAGACATGACCCTTGACTCGCTGTCCCCTGTGGGACACGTGAGCCAGGGGCGTGTGCCGTGGGTCTCTTGCGGCAAGGGCAGCGAGCGGAGGGGCGAGCTCCCGCCGGCCCGTGCTGTCTAGCGGGTGGCCAGAGGCCGCCTTACCTGGCGGACCCACAGGGGAGGGGCCATAGGAAGCTGCTGCCAGGCCCTCACCTGTGCCCTCTCACCCGCTACCCAGGTAGAGGGATGGGCTCTGGTTTCCTCGCTCCCACAGGGCCACCAACTTCCTCCAGGTCACCGGTCCTGGGTCTTCTGCCCTCTGACCACAGACGCTTCCCAGTCAGAGCCGGGCCCCCACCCAGGGAAGAGGCCGCCACTCCAGAGACACTTCACCCCACAGTGTCCCTCAGAGAGGCTTCCTCACCCCCTGCCCCTCCGGAGGCTGCCACACACACTCGCCTTCACGCATGGAGGTCACAGGGGCCCGGCGTGTTCCTCAGCTTCCATATTTTTGGACCTGGTGATCACTGCTCAAGGCCCCCATTTGGTGATGAGGCGGACGAAAGAGCACCCAGGGCCCAGGGTCATGCCCCCATCTCAAGTCGCTGCTCTCAACACCCCCAGACCCTGAAATCTCTCTGCCTCCTGTTCCTCAAACACAGCATGTTCGTGCCACCGTCTCCTGGGATGGTGGCGGCCGACACCCCGGTGATGCCTGGTCCTGGGACAGCAGCTGGCCCCGCACCAGCCAGCGCAGCTCCTGGACCTCGGCGGCCCTAGGAACCAGAAACACTGGGTTTCCCGCCCTCCTCTCCCCTTCATCGGCCTGGGGGACCTCAGCCCCTCAGGCTGTTTCTGGGCCTCCTTTGGGAGGGTGATGCCCACGCGGCACTTCAGTCCAGACCTTGGCTCGAACTTCCAGGCTGTCCGGAGCGCCTGGAGCATGCGCCGTGTTGCGCAACACACGTGCCATTAGTTAAGTTTCGCTTTACCGTTTCACCTGCTGAGAAACCACAGGGGTTTCCTGTTAATCAAAGGAGATGGGAGGTACGAGGGGAGGCACTACCAGGATAGAAGAGGAGAACCACGCGAAGGTCAGGAGGTTATTGCGAGAGGTCACCGCGAGAGGAGCAGAGAGAAGGCCAGGGAAGGTAGAAAGACAGGGAAAAGTAAAAGAAGGTAAAGGAAAAATAAAGAAGCACACGCTAGCGTCAAGTTGTCTCACGCTCCTCATTTCAATCCTCAGCCCTTCTCTTTTCGTGCCTACGAATCCCGCGGGTCGGGACACCAGGCACTACATTGTTTCAAGAGCAAGACACCCAGAAAGAGCTCCCTGTGTCCAGCCTGCTCCTGCCCCCCACCCCAGACCTGGCACCCCTGGACCCACCCTAGACAGGCTTTGCCCCAGCAGCCCATCAGGTCCTCTCCCTCTAATCTACTGAACCCAGCCCTGGTAACTCAGTCCTCATGCTTCCTCCCCACCCCCAGAGCATCTCCCCATTTCTAGCCTTGCCCCACTTGGATACGTGGCACGTATCTAAAGGAGAAACCCCCCTAGGTTACTCACACGTGCCTCCCACCCAGAACCAAGGCCAGGACACTTGGCGGGCTCCAGGCAGACCTGGGTGGCCCCATCCCCTCCCTCTGCCCTCTCTCTACACCGCCCCCTGCCATATTCGTCTCCCCTTTGCCTCCCCCCTCAGCTCCAGTGGTCTTGAACCCCAGGGAGCTCCCTCCGCTGGAGGTGTCTGCACTGCAGGGCATTTGCTTTGGAAGCTCCTGGCCCCTCCTGGGCCAGTGCCCACGGGCTCACCCCGCCACCTCGGAGGAGGGTGGCCCCCGCGCTGGGACTCCAACCTGCTCACAGACCACCCTGTGGCCCTGGCTTGACTACCACAGGCCTCATCGTCCATGGCTTAGAGGCCCCAGAGGCCTGGACTCTGATGGAGGGGGCTGGCCCTGGCCCTGGGGTGGACCGAGGGGCTCCAAGCTCACCTGTACCTCCTGCCGCCCTTGACTCCACCACCTGCATCTGAACAGCGAGAGTGACCCTGCCCGCAGCGGGCCTGCTCGCCCACCAAGTCCTCAGACGCGGCCAGCTGGCGCCACTGCCACTTGGTCCCTTTATCGAGCGGAGTCAGCTGTGCCAATCAAAGAAGAGCGTGTGGAGATTCTCGGCCAGGGATGAGGGCACGTTCCACCGGCAGCGGCTGGCCCGTCCCAGTGGGCGAGAGTGGCGTGTGCATGAGCCGCACAGAAGCTGGCAACGGCCAGGCCCCCCGAGGCAGCAGTGACGCTGGGGGCGCTTAGGTGTGGGGACACGTTCCAGGTGGAGGAGACAACAGGAGCAAAGGAGCAGACATGGACTTGGAGGGTGAACAGCGACAGTCCTTGGGAAACGCTCTGTCCAGGGCGCCCTCGATGGGGGGGCTATTTGCTCTGAAAGGTGGAATTCCACCTCCCCAGCCCCCTTAAAACCTGCGACCACTCCCGCTGTCTCAGAGGCCACTTTTGTGCCCCTTGTCACCCTCCGCCCTGGCCACAACCCTCGAGGCAGTCTCGGTCTACCTAATAGGACAGTGGTGAGTCCCAAGGACATGGCCCAGGCCTGACTCTCCCAAGCTGAGCCCCACGCTCCAGACACCTCTGTCCTCAGTGCGCAGGGCTGAGCCTCCCAGTTCTCACGTCCTGCCCCGGCTGGCATTGCTCGCCACTTCCAGGGCCCACCCTCTCTGGGGCACCCCTGCCAACCCCGCTGCCGGTCCCGATCAGAACAGGGAACTGCGCCCTCCCATCGTGGGCCGCCCCGGGCAGACAGGTGTTGCTTCTCCTCATCCAGCGCCGGGACTCCGGTCCTGGCCCTGGCGCGGGCGTCAAGTGACTGCAGAAGAGGAGACGGAGCTGGGAGGAGGTGGCTTCTGCAGGCCCGTGGCCAGGGCCTGCACCCCACTCCCCTGCCTGCCTCTTGCCGCCAGATCCCAGAAAGAACGGGGTCACTACCCAACATTCCAGGCCAGTTTGGGAGCCCCATGCCCCGAGGGGAAGGGGCAAACTGGGTGACCTTTCGAAGCGCCATCAACCCCAGCAGGTCCGGAAAAGGACAAACCCAGCACAGATAACCGCTGGGGCCGGGGTACAGGCGCGGGCAGGGCCAGAGCTGGTATATGATTCATTTTCTTGGAAAAGGCTGAGCCCCACATCCTATTTTGTTCTGCCCCAACACAGCCAACTTTTCCTTGCCCTGGGGGAGACAGGTCCCGACAGAGCAGGCAGCTTCTGAAAATGTTGGGGACCAGGGGCAAAGAGGATTCCTTTGTTCTGCCACCAAGAAGCAGTTAGCTCTCTTCCGCTCTTTGACCTCAGCCTCCCAAGCACCCCGAGCTCCCCAAAGACGTGCCAGAGTCGAGCCCACGGAGAGCCCTGAACTTGAGGACAGGAGGGAGCCGTCTGGGGCGTGCGTTGTGTGCCCCCCACCCCAGGCCTCCACCTCTGCACGGCCAGCACCATCTCACCTGGCCGGCCGGCAGGGGGGCGCTCACGGCTCCGCCCTGGGCCTTCACCATCGGGTTCACCACAGCACCGCGAAGGCTCGTCAAACGGGGCGGGGGTGGGGGTGCGTCCTTGCACCTCAGGGCCCACGGCTCATCGCGGACGTGCACGTTGAGGCGCTACAGCTGACCTGTGTTGGGCAGCTGGTCCCTCCAGGTCACGTGCAGTGACGAACCTGCCGTGCAGCCCCGCCCGGCTCACTGCCCAACGCGCCCCGCCCGCAGGCCCATGCGTTCCTGTGCGGAGTAGCCGCTGGTGCAGGTGCCGGCAGGAGCCCCGGCAGGCCAAGAAATCTGGGTATCGCAGGGACGCGGCCACATGGCTGCCGGGCAGCGTGCAGGAGCTCCCAGCGGCTGCAGTTGGGGTCTGGAATCCTCCAAGCAGGAAGCAGTGTAGCCACAAGGGGGTCAGCTTGCCACAAGGGAAGGCTGGGGTGGGTCGGTGGGATGGGGTGTAGGATGGGGTGACAACAATGAGAAGAAAATGGGGGAGCGCTCACATGGGGGGGTGTCTGCAGGGTGGGCAGAGGCCACAGAGGGCGCTGAGTCACAGAAGTGCTGCCTGGCTGAGGCAGGGGTTCCACGACCCCCATGGAGGAGAGACTCCAGCTCTAGAACAAAAGTTCTGTTAGGCGGGGGAGGGCGGGAAGGGGATTGGGCACCTTCACGTAAACAAGACAGAAGGAGCTTCGGCTGGTGTGAGGGCAGGTCCTCTGGGGCTGGGAGGTGGCCCAGCTGGCAGCTCAAGGCTGGCCCTGGCTCAGAGACCCTGCCGGCCACCAGGTCCCACACACGCCCAGGAAGATGTACTTGAGAATGAGAGGGGTGCAGCTGGACTGCAGAGAGGCCAGGACCTCCAGACCCCTGACTCTTGGGGTCAGGGCCAGGCCCTTCCACTGGGATTCAAGGTCCAGAGCGGCCCTGCCTGTGGTCAGCCTGCGGTCAGCAGCCACACGGAGGGGCTGGGCCAGAGGGCATGACCCGCCTTACCCAGAAACACTGGGCTTCTCGGTTGATGACAGTGAACTGTTGGAAAGCACTGCTGTCCCCAGACTCTGAAACAGGAGGGTCACACACCTGCTACCCCTCAGCCTTTGTGATGGTCGCTGGAGCCTGGGCTTAGGTGGCCCAGGGCCTCCTTAGAGAGCCACGCGCAGAGGTTCAGAGAGGCCATGGCCCGGCCAAGGTCACACAGCAAACCCATGCAGAGTCAAGCCGGGAAACCAGGTCCTCTGATTTCCAGCTCCGCCGGGGCGGCCTCCTCTGCTCCGGGGGCGCGGGCGGGCAGGGAGGGCGGGCAGGGAGGGCGGCCTCACAGCCTAATTAGAAGCTGTCGAGGCACAGGGACATGGGGGCCGTGCTCGCGGATTAGTGCCCTCTCCATAGATCACAGGCAAGGACATAATAATTAATCTGCCCAAAGGTTTTAAAGGTAAAAATCAGCAAACCATTAATAATGTCCCCGGCACCATACATCACCCTGAAATCTTCCCGTTACGCCTCTGCTGAGCTGAGGAGGCGCCTTTCCCTGCTGCTCTTCCCCACCCCGCCCCCTCCGGGTGTTCTGCCGCTGGCTGCAGCCGAGCTGGAAGCGCGGGGATGCGAAAGCTCAGGCTGCGGGGGGCACCCTCGCCCTTTCTTGGGGCCCCTGGCAGAAGCCACTTTACCTTCCGAAGGATGGAATGGAGCCGTCACCCCTGCCCCAGCGCCCCCAGCTTTAAGTGGGGATCACTCTGGGCCTCAATCAGAGACCAAGGCTGTTTAATTAATTAGCCCAACAGGGTCACTTTACATGGAAAAAGTGCTGAGCTGTCCACTCCCCGGTGGTCCCCGCGTGGGGGAGGCGGCGGGAGGCAGCCGGCGCGGGGCCCTGGCTCTGAGATCTGGGCGCCTCAGACGGGTTTGTAATTGAAGGTGATCAGGAGAATCAGGAGCTGGAATGAGGAACATTCAGAAGGCAGCAGGCCGATGCCCGCGGGCACAGGGAGTGGACGGCCGGAGCTGCACTGAGTCTTCCCTCCAGAGCCAGGGCCTTCGCTGTGCCACCACCACGCGGACTCTGCTCCTCAGCAGCTGAGTCAGAAGAGGGTTCCTGGCGGTGCCACACACCCACCCTGGGGTGAATGATTCAGGAAGCGGCCACTGTCGAGTGGTGGCTTGAACACAGGCTCCACCCTGAAGACAGCATTCTGTGTCAACCGCTGTGGCCTCCTGGGATGGGGACCCTGGTGAGGCCCACGGGGGGCTGACCTGGCAGCGAGGGCCAGGGGCTCCCCTCAGCTCTGTCATAAGCTGGGGGGGGGGCAGACTAGAGCCGGCTCCTCTGGGCCCATTTCCGCCCGTCCCCCAGGTTCCCAGAGCCCCCGCAGCCTGGCTTCTGGGCTGAGCCACCGCGCGAGGTTCCCGTGCAGACCTGAGCGTGTGAGCTGGCGTCTACGAGGGCGTCTGTGAAACCTCCCCGGAGCCTGGTGGAGCTGGGGTCTGCCCGCCTCGTCTTTCTCATCTGGGCCCAGACGCACGCCTCTCCGAGCCAAGCTTGTGCCGCTGCCCCCGCCAGGAGGGACAGGAGGACCTGGCAGACCATGCTGCACACGCGGGGCCCTGTGTGTCTCACAGTTGGCCGCCTGGGGCCCTCAGAATGGCTCCGGGAAGGAGCAGGGTGAGGTGGGCTGGGCCCACTCCATGGATAGGGAAACCAGCAGGAGGATGAACAGAGACGCTCCCGAGAGGCCCCAGGCGGCCACCCTTGCAGGCCCCTCGTTGGGGAAACTCCCTCCCTACAGCGTCTTGGGATCTGGTGCAAGCCCCCCATGCTGTGAGCTGCCTCTCACCCAGTGGGGGAGAGGCTGCAAGGAAGACCCCGATCCCAGGGCTGGGAGCACCAGGCTGGAGGCCAACAGGCGCCCTGACAGGGCGGGAACCTGCTCCAGACACATCCGGCTTTCCCTGCTGTCTTCCCGAAAGCCCCTCGCCCAGCGAGCTGGGCCCTCTGGGGGCCACGTCCCCCATGCTGTGTCCTGGAAGCCTCGGTCCGGAGCAGGGCCCCGGGGCACATGGGCTCTTCAAGGTTGTGCAGGCCAAGCCCCTCTGCTCTCCTTGGCACCCTCAAATCAAGCCAGGCCCAACACACATCCAACTGTGTGAGAATAAATGGGGTAATAGGCGTGGCCGTGCAGGGGAGCCCAGTCAGCCAGTCAAAGCCGGAGCAAGGCCAGGGGCAGGCTAGGACCAGGGCTGGGGAGGGGCTAGCGGTAGGCCAGAGGGGCTAGCGGTTGGCGGAGTTGGGGTTTGAATGCCCCCTAAAAGATGTGGACTTGCCATCACAGGAGTTTATTGAGTTGGTTATCACTGTGGTAGGCTGAGGCGTGGCAGTCACTTGAGTCAGTGGGTGAGGTTGAAAATCCACCCAAAGTGGAGGGCAGTGACTTGGAGGGGCTCACCAAGAGCAAGTAATGGGCACCTAGAAGAAAGAACAGGGGCCTCCCTGGGGGCACAGGGGTTAGTCTCAGTGCTATGAAGCTATTGCCAGTCACTGCAGCAGGAGTTCAACCCCTGGCCAGGGAGCTGACCCACAGGGCACAGCAGACCTCTCCTGTCTCCCCGCTGCTCCCCTCAGCGGTGGATTTCAGTAGATCCACCTGTTCTGCTCCCCACTCTGTCTCTGCTGAATCCTCTCATCCCCCATGCCTCTGGCCTGCACCCCAGTTATTGCATGCATAAACAAATAAAAATAAATCTTTAGAAAGAAAAGAAAGAGCAGGCTTTTGAAGGGAGGAGCTGGGATCCAGGGCGGGGAGGCCCAATGAACCAGCTCCAGGCAGGTTGGGAGGCGGGGGGTGCCCGGGCCCGATGCCACAGCCCAGGAGCCAATTCTGACGGTGGCATGCACTTTACCAAGAGTCGTCCCAAGAGGCCATGGCTCCCCTC